GATAAGCATATGGAGCAGAGGTCCATCAGTGGCTATTAGCCACAAGGTATAGATAGGGACTCTGGGGCAAGTGATGCTCTGTCTTCTTGGTGTTTGAGGGGGTCAACAGTGGGAGGGCTTCTAATGTCCTGGCCCCACTGGTGGACCTCCTGATGGCACCTGGTATTTCTGGCCACTGTGTGACACAGAGTGTTGGACTGGATGGGCCTTTGGCCTGATCCAACATTGGCGTCTCTTATGTTCTTATGATAATGGTAGATGTGTACAAGCTGGTAAGGACAGATATTTTCAACAAATTTCAGTAAAACTGGCTCCCCTCCCCCCCCTCCCGTAATTTGAACATTTTCTGGGCTCCTGGATCAATAAACAATTTATGTTAGCATTCAGACGGAACCACCGCTATAAAACTGAAATTCAAGTGATTTCCCTTTCTGAAACGGAAAGGGAAGTTTGCTCACCTAAAACCTTAATTTATACCTGCCTTAGTGCAAGAAGAATCACTAGTTTACAAAAATCTGTTGCTTCCTCACCTGTCCCACACATCCCTGTGTTAGTCAAATAGGAGTTAGAAGAAAAATAAACTATTTTTGTAAAAATAACAGAGAAACTTGAGGCACCATAAAGACCCAATGCATGTATTAGGGCATCAGTTTTTGTGATGCCTCTGATCACGCTGGCTGTTGAAAGCTTATGCCCCAATAAATTTGTTGGTCTTTAATATGCCAGAAGTCTCTCTGCTGTGTTGGTTGCAGCAGACTAACAGGGTCACTCCTCTAGAATGTGGCTTTTGTGAAGCTTTCCTGTACGGTCACCTGGATGCGATTCTTGCGTGGCATAGGCTATTTATAACTAGTTTTAACTTCAGACTACGATTGACTATGGAGAAAAACAGAGGAGTAAAAGTGTTCACCTGACTGTGGAGTTCTAATATCAATACAGCTACAGCAACACATTGGACGTGTATACAGGGAGCCTTTTAATTGAGTTTTGCAGAAGCTAAGAAAAAAGAAAATTTCTATAATGTCAAGTATACCTGGAAGCAGCAAATGTTGACCAAAGCCAATTCGTTCGATCAAAGGTTTTGTTTCAAGTGGATTTTGATGTGAAAATGCCCCCTTAGACAAACTTTGTACCCCTAATTACAGGAGAATTCAGAGATGGATCTGTGGCAACACATGTGGAAATCCAGGCCAAATCGTCTTGCGCTTCACTCGACACAGGGAAGGTGTATCTGACTGGACACTCCTATGAAGCCATTTGCTCTACAGAAATGCTTCCCACTTGATGGAAGGATGTTTTCCTTTTTGTGAGAAACAGTAAAAAAACCTTTGAATAAAGGTCTGCAGGATGTACCTATGGATGCTCAGGAAATTTTGTTTTAAACCTGTCACTAAGCATAACCGACAGAGCAGTCGTCCTTCAAACTGTCCGTCTGCCCAACTTCCATTCACTTCTGATTCCAGTTTTAATGTCCTAAGTCCGTTTCGCTTGCTTCAGCCTACCGCCTATTAATACTCCCCCCTCCCCACAAACCCCACTGCTCTACTCTTCTTTTCCCATTTCCCCTTCCTTTGCTCTGCTTCTTGTAGGATCTATATCAAACAAACGAACACTGTAGGCTCAAAGCAGCTTAGCCGATAGCAGTCAAGGATCTTTAGGATCACAGCAATGCTGCCCCCGGCAGCAAGACCCCTGTGTCTGGACAGCTCAGTCTCACCATCACCACAAACGGTTGCCACCTTACACCTTACAGAATGTGCTTCAGAGTCCACATAATATCTTCTTGTATGTGCACATGACAACATCCAGCATAAGCGACTGACAATGTGGCATCGCTCTACAATTTGACAGAAGCTGGTTTCAAATGGCTCCCAGGCAATAATTAAGCAGTAAAGGTAAAGGTTTCTCTTGCTTGAGAGCTAGTCGAATCTGACTCTAGGGGGCAGTGCTCATCTCTGTTTCCAAGCCAAAGAGCCAGCTATGCAGCACTAGGGTCTTGAACTGCCCAACTACAGGCCTTTTGGTCTGCAGCTCAGCGTCTTAACCTCTGAGCCACTGCGGCCTCTTAATTAAGCATTAGGAGACCATTATTTTTTCCT